AAAAGTTTTCTTTTTTGTACAATTTTCTTTAATTCAATTTTCTATTATAATTCAATTGAAGTTTAATAACGAACTAATTTATTTTTGGTTTAATAAAATAATTTTTTAAGATAATAATTAAATATTTTGTTAGAACTCAATAATTATCTTAATTATATTTTAGATTCTTTAAATTTAAAATGATGTTTATCATATATTTGACTGTGTTTATCCGCAGTTAATTACACGAATTCAAACATGAAGCTTTAATAAAATGCACTCATGCATATTCTACTTGTAATCTTGAATTTTAAATAATATGCATTAGTAAACAGTGTTTTATGCATAAAAAATTATTTTTAAGAGTTTTTGTCAAATGCTTTATAATATAGTATAAATATATTTTTTATTATCAACATTTATTTTGGAACTAATGAAATCTATTGTATTTCAAAGTTTGATACATTGAAAAGTGTTAACATGTGATTGATAATCTTTTAAAAAAGGTTGAAATTCATATAACTATCTAATAATTAACTGATAAATACGTACAAATTAAAGATAATCATCGAGTCTAACAGAATAATTATTAAAATTAAGATAAATCATAAATTTATCAGTAAATTTAAAATATTTAAATTATAAAACAAATTGTAATTAACATGAATATCAATATATTTTTAGATTTTTTACCAGGCCATTTGGTTAAGACAATGTATGGTTGGTAAATAAGTATCGGGTTTTTTCAACCACCACTTTTGTAATGAGAATTTGCATGAGCTTTCTATTATCATATTTTAATAAAATATTGTACAGATACATAACAAATGTAGTTATCTTTCTTATAAAAACTCGATATTAGTTGAAAGATAGTTTTAAAATTTTTACCATTTACTAGTCACAATTTTAGTTTGTGAAGAAAATAAAAATATCGTTATCTGATATAAATTATAGATTACGCTGTTAGGCATGAGAATAAGACCCGTTAGTGTACTTGTTCTGGGGCCAGGATTCCCCACAAAACCAAGGACCGAGGATGGGGACTTGGAACTCAAAACTTAAACACTGGCGATGGAGTTGGACCCAGGTAACGTGATCCTTGTCCCGTTCCCGTATATTGAATAATATATATTTATTGCTATATATATAAATATATATATATATATATAAAATGACTCTTCAGACTTGAATTTAAAAATGAAACTATATCAATAATTAATTAAAATGAAGTTAACCCTAGAATAAAATTAAATGTGTTATTTTGAACAAATATAGACATATTTTTGGCAAAAAAAAACCTTTTATAGCTCGCATGTTAACCAACAAAACTCGTCTTACAGAATTCCTTGACAACATCAGCAAGTGATAGCTGAAAGCTGTCACGATAAGCTGAAAACACAAGCTAAAGGTTGTCAGCAATAACCTGTCAGATTAGCTGAAGACTGTCAGTGATAAGCTGTTAGCAATAAGCTGAAGGCTGTCAGCAATAACCTGTCAGATTAGCTGAAGGCTGTCAGCAATAACCTGTCAGATTAGTTGAAGAATGTCAGTGATAAGTTGTCAGCGATAAGCTGAAAGATGTCATAATAAACTGAAAACACAAGCTGAAGGCTGTCAACAATAAACTGTCAGATTAGCTGAAGGCTGTCAGCAATAAGCTGTCAGATTAGCCGAAGGAAATTAGTCTGAACTAAATCTTGTTTAGTAGGGAAATCAGTTAAACCACGATAAAAAAAGATACATTTTTAGAGGGACAGATGTCAACCAAATAGGCCTCTTTGAACCACTAATGTAAATTGTGTCTAGATACATGTTTAGGCGGGAAAATAAGATAATCGTCTCACCAGAAGATGACACGTGTCACTCAAGTTACTTATTTATTAGGTGTGTAGATATATATATTATCTATAATGAATAAGATTTGACATCTTTTAGATTTAGAAAGAGTTTTTCTGACCTTTCTTTTGTTGATTCTCTCTCAGAGTAATTTGATGATAATCTCTTTTTCCTTCCACGTTGTATTTGTGTTTCTGTATTTTCAGTTCCAGCGAT